CTTACAATCTATCTGACCTGTTTTCTTCGTCGGGGCCCCTCGCAACACCTCCACCACGTGTCTTCGGTCAACGTCCGCTTCCTCTCCACTTCCTCGTCGTGTACCTCCTTCGCACGCTTGATGTACGGGGTGGCGATGACGAGCACCAGGCTACACTTCCTGGGCCTATGAGTTGGTGACGAACTCGGGCCGGCAGGCAATGACGGTGTAACCTTCCGGTACGTCTACCGGAACTTCACTGCGTTTAGGTGATCTGTACTAAATACAGCGGGGTCCTAATGGTCAAATACATTTGGCATTAGGACCATTTTAACCAAAATGGTAATTATTGCGGTTTACCTTCTGTCCTTGACTCTCTCCTCACACTTTTCCACTGTTTCCACTATTACTTGCGTAAATTTAGCTAGCTTGATTGCTTGATGAACCGTTTTCGCTGGTGGTCTTACGATCAGTGCTTATTAATTTCAAAGTTGAGTGAGTCATTGGGTTACTGCTCCAGGCTGTCGGCCAGTGACCCGGGCCATTCGTCGTTCATCGCCAGTTTGTCATGCTCCATTCAAAATGGCCATCACTATCGCCACCCCCCATGGCCACCCAACAGGCAGTTGTTTGTCCATCTGGAGGCGGGTTTTTGCAATTTTCGGTGGGGTGGATTGTTGCGTTCTACAGTAAGCTGTCCTGCCTCTACCTACTAGGGAGTTTGACAACGGAGAAAACTGCACAACACTCACGAACATTACCTGCCATTATTTTTTTACAATTTAACGGAACTAAACAAAAACCACGATAATCTAAAAAATACTCGAAACAAAGACACTAGCCGGGCTATCCGCGAATTAGGACAGCTTATGTGATTTTCACTAATAGGGGCTGTGATAGATCATTTGTTTCAATATATAAAGCTAGAATATTTTCGAAAAAGTTGTTGTACTGGAGTTAGGCCAACAAGTCTGTGCTATTCGATTCGGGTTTGATTGGGAAATACGCCACTAGAGGCACTTCATTTTCATATTACTTATTTTTTTTTTTTTTTTTTTTTTTTATTAATTGCTTTATTTGTACAGGCTCAATCGAATAAACTTTACAGAGCCGAGTTATCATTTTTGTTATACATTATTGATGTCTTATATTTAAAATTAAAGGAGCTGGACCGGATACTCGCGGTTGTCTCGAGGTTAGTGGAGATTTACAATTTTTTTTTGGATGGGAAAAGGGACAGAGAGGTTTGAAATGTGGTTTACGATACAAATATTTAATTAATCCTAAAACATGAACTAATTTCTATTCATTTTGAAAACAAACATTAAAAAAACCCACACGTACAAAATACAAACTAAACACAAGGTTAATAAAACTTACAATCTAATGTTAATATTCTTAAAGTAAACATATATGAGTTTGATAAACTCCAGATCGCGTCTAGCCAAAATATTACTTATGACGGGCGCTATATTATATGAAATTTGCGAAAAAACATAGAATATCTCTTGATCCCAGCCATGTAGAAAGTTGCTGCCTTGAGCAAAGTTGTTCAGGTTACCAAGTCAATTCGGATGGTTGCCATATTAGGTCAGAACTCTCATACTACGTGGCACTAGTGTGCACATGAACTTACTGTATAAGCTGTATCTCGAAATCCTGGCCATATAGAAGGCTACTGTCGTGAGCAAAGTTGTTCAAATGATCAAGTTCTTTTGGGATTGTGGTCATATTAATTCAGAATTCTCTCATTATGCGGCGCTATTTTACACATTAACTTTCTGCATAACCTGTATTTCGAGATCGTATAAGGTCTTCAGCAAAGTTGTTCAGATGACCACAGTCTTCCGGATGGTGTTCATATTACTTCATAATTCTCTCACTGCGTGGCACTAATGTGCATGATAACTTCCGGGGCCTCCCTTAGCTCAATCGGTAAAGGCGCAGCTATAAAGCAAGACCATGGTGGAGGTGGCTGGGTTCAATTCCCGGTCTGGTCTAGGAATTTTTCGGGTTGGAAAAATTCTCGACATCCCTGGGCATAGAAGTATGATTGAACTTGCCACACAATTGTGTATACCAATGCAAAGATGGTACAGGTACCGAAAGCTCCCAATTAATAATTGTGGAAGTGCATCTAGATCACTATGTTGAGAGCACGCAATAAGCTAATATGCGATGTGCAATAAGCTTGAAATGCCAATAAAAAGAAGAACAACTTCCTGAATATGATATGTCTCGCATGCCTGCCCATATGGGCCGGATAACGAAGTAAGACGCCATTTTAGAATCCATCTGTTTTAGAAATACTGTCAACATATCGACTTTATTGAAATCACATAATGCGTAATCGAAGGGCATAATTTAATAAAATCACAATCTCTGATCATGCCTGCTTTCGGAAGTAAAGTCGTTAGTCCCCGGTCCATGAGTTGATGGGTAGGGTTCAGTTGTAGGAGCTGCTTCCTTGGCATTGGTAGCATTGGTACTCAGTACGGAAAACAAGATCGGCGGAAAACAAATCAAGTAAAAGAAAAGATGAAATTGAAACTGCCTTTAAGAGCTCTTAATCTCAATAATTTCCGAGGCTTTCCTAAAGCTTTCAATACTCCCTTGAAGCTCATGGAACTTCCTTTGAAAGCTCTTAACTTATCTGAAGTTCCATACATTTTCAAGAAGTTCTTGGAACTTCTCTTACGTTCCAAAAATTTTCCTGATCTGTTTGGTATATCCCTGGTCCTGTGGAAGATCCGGAACATTCTTAAAAGTGGTCAACTCATGAAACTGATCCTAGAGCTCCACGATTTTTTAGAAACCACTCATAAATTATTATGAATAATATTTCAATAAGACGATATTAGTAAATGGCTTATTGATTAAATTTTTATGTGATGAATTAAAACTATAAACATTAAAGATAGTGCCCCGTTAACGTGTAACTCCAATGAAAGATCTCCAAGAAGCCATGAGAAAGAAGTCCAAGAAGTCCAAGGAATAATGTTCAAAAAATTTGTTAAAATACTACCTTGAAACCATCCATGATAATAAATAGAAAAATTATTCTACGAGCAGTTCTTAGAATACACAGAATGCTGAGATGCAGTTTTCTTGAACTATCCACTTTAACATCCAATGAACCCTGGGGTCCATTTTCCAGTCACAACTCCGAATTCATAATTATAAGACTCCTATGAGAGTTTTCTAAAAAAAATATGGAGCTCTTGGATCAGTTCCACTAATTGACCACTTTTACGGATGTTTCGGATCTTTCGGAGGATCATCCACTGCACAACGGTCCCAAAACCGTATTTAGGTAGACACAAATCTTTGTGCCCAAACCGTCAGTTTTAGGTATATAGTGCCTTCGGGAAAGTTTCTTCATATTTTTGGCCGATCTTTTCATGTTAAATAAATTAGGGTGGTCCACAAAATGGGTGAATTGAAAATACAAACTTTTCTATTCTTTGAGATAGACCAATGCCGATTATCAAGAGGCCAATGCCGATTATCTAGGGGCCACCCTAACCTGCTTGTTTAATATCATCATAACTCATGAACCATAAGAGATATAAATTTGGCGTCTTGCGCAAAGTTGCTTCAAATTGATTGTTCTACAACTTTTTAAAATACTGCATTGGTCAATGCCAATAATAAAAAGTTTGTTTTTTTAATTCAACAATGTTATGGACCACCCAAATTCCACTAACATAAAAATAATGGCCAAAAAATATGAGGAAACTTTTCCCCAGACATCATATACCTAAAAGTGATGGTTTGGGCGCAAAGATTTTTGTCTTCATTAATACGGCTATGGGACCATTTTGCACTGGTCCCCAGGGTTCATTTTCCGGTCAAAACTCCAAATTAATACTGATAAGATGTCTATGAGTGGTTAAGAAAAAAAAAAGTCACGGTGCTCCAGGATCATGAATTGACCAGTTTTACGGATGTTCCGGGTCTTCCGGAGGACCAGACTTCTGACTTTCCGGATGTAAAATGGTCCCATCTATCTCGTTAATAACTTTTCAGAAGACATCAGGAAGTTATCTCTTCAAATTACCCTTCAATAAGTGTTTGTCCCTAATTAGCTCTAATTAACCGTACTATAGGAATCTTGACTGTACTAAGTATGTGATTTTGCTTTGGAAAATCCGGAAAACTTCAACTAAAATTTTCCGGAAAAATTAACCACTCCGAATATTTTGATTTTTGTTTTTCGTTCATAAATCATAAACTCTATATATGAAACATATGAAATCGCAATTAATTACAAAAAATGCTTATCAGATGCTTATGGTAGTTAAATTCTGCAAGCAATTGTGTGTTTTTCTTACTTATTAAAGGATAAAGGCAGATAAATGCACGTTGATAATTGTGCTGCATATTGCAAAAAATAAATTCTCTTCAGAATGAAGCAGAGCTTATCTTTACAACTCACATGTATTTCTCCTCACAATTCTCGTGGAGCTCTTTTCAGAACTTTCTTGAAATTATCCTAATCTATCTCCTTATCATATTAGAAAGAAAGGTTAACTCGGTCAAGAACATGGTGCACATTTCACACAACTAAAAAAAATTTCGTGGGCCGAAGACCACGCATAAAAAAAAAAACAAAGAATTATGAATCATTCAGACACCCCGCCCCTAAACCCTGGCTATGTCTATGCTTGCGATGTTCACAAGCCTAATGGAATTTAATTTGCACAAGTACGAAGTTGCAATCAAGCGTGTACGCATTTTACGGGAGATTCCATTCACAAAGTGTTAAGAAAATCCAATAAGAACATCTTATCAGCATCCAATTACCTACATAACAGCATTTGTCATCATCATTCGCAAGCTTAACGACTACCGTGGTGCCCCTTTTGCATTCTCTTCCTCGTCAACATTACCCACGTGAAATCAAAGATGGCAGCACCCTCTTCACGGCAGCTGTCAAAATTTGCCAGTGGCGACGAGGCAACACAAACAACAACAACAATAACACAGAGCGAAAGTGTCAGTCCTGTCTGTCGGGGCTCAGTGATATCGAAATCTACGTCGCGAGTGCATCAAAATAAAATTACATTCAATAATATTTTGCAGCGTGATTCGTGAGTCTGTGTGTGTGTTTGTTCTGTGCATTGTGCGAAACGGGGAAAAACTTATAGCTGGCTTAGTAGCATATTTGGAATTCTGTGGATTTGTTTTTCCTAAGGTGGAATTCGTGTCCAGTGATACAGTGCAAAATTACATGTTTTCCCGACGAAGATAATAAGTTGTGATTTCCTGAGCTTGTGAGGAAGGTGATCAAATGTCGCACTGGGCTGGTTGTTCTTTGACCCCGTTCTGGTGCTAGTTCGAGTGAAATCTTTGTGTGAATCGTGTACGATTTGTTGGAGTTGCTATTTTGTGTTCGGTAGGTATCAAGGACAGGAACTACGGACAATGGCAGCTCTGCGCTTTCGCTTCCATCAATCTATGATTCATCCTTGAACGAGTACGCCCAAGAGAATTCCATTTTGTTTACATTAGCTAGTTTTCTAGAATAATTCAAAATCCGTCTCCGTTGTTGGCTTCTTCGCAAGATCCCTGCGTCAAGCCGAGCGTCAAGCTCAAGAGCGCTCGAGAGCTGATAACGACATGAAATACGATCTGTTTCACTTGATTGGGTGACTGTGTCTAGGGTTGTCAACTTGCTGCTCTTCTTCGCGGCAGTGGCACAACAAGCCGAGCACTTTTGGTCGTCCCTAACGTGAGGGTAGTTGCCTGACTCATTTGTATGGCTTTGTGTCTGACATGTATGGTTTTCGCTTTCACAGAATGCCAGCATAACTCCCGGACCGGGGGCTTGCGAACGGAGCGATTTGTAATTAAATTATTAATCGCTCTGAGCGGTTCGGACCGATAAGACCGTCGCCGTTGAACTTGAACTCTTGGGCGTCCGTTACGAAACGGTACAAGCGTACTGACCTGATATTGTTCTTGATTTTAGGATCACAACAATGCCGATCCTGTACAGCGTCATCACCCGTGGCCTGACGGTCCTGGCCAAGTATGCCGAGTGCGTTGGCAACTTTGCCGAAGTGACCGAGCAGATCATACCGAAGATAAAGCTGGACGACCACAAGCTGACGTACTCGCACGGGAACTATCTGATACACTACATCTGCGAGGATAGGATCATCTACATGTGCATTACGGACGATGTGAGTAGCGATTTGAATAGAGCTATCAATGGAGGAAATGCTTTTTTTTCCGCCGTTGCGTTTTAACTGAGTCATGCTAGAGCTCGTGGCAATGTTTGTGATCGTGGTCCATTGTTGTAACGTGTGCTACCAGCGCGCAGCGATGCAGTGAGCGTGAGCTAAGAGCGCAAAGTTTGAGACATTTAATGGGGGTTGACCTTTTTTCGGAGGAGTTATCTGTGTTTGGTGCATTCTTGGCAGTGGCTTAGAATGAGATGATGATTTTTTTATGTTTAGACGTTGCATCTTATGTTCGGCATTGCGTAATCAAAATCCTTTTAAATCAATAGAAAAAATCCCCTGAAAATAGTAACTTTTTCACTACTAAAATAGAGTGAAATTTAAAAATATCAACAACATGTCTAAATTGAGTACTTGACACTAAAAAAGTCTACAGTAGTTTTAACAAAATATACATATCTGTTAAACAATTTAAAATTTCAACCAGGGTGACCAGTGAGCCGCAACAATTTAGAACACCAGGAAAACTCTTGGGAAACGCCTTCAATTTCGATTAAAAATCGGGGAAAATATACCTCCTTTCCCAGAAAATAAATTGTGAACATTGGAAACATTGTGATTGATTTTCAAAAGTCTTTCAAGGATAATTAAGAACGTTAAAAAATCCAAAGTAAATTTTAAGATAATTTCAAAGGATTCTAGGGATAACACCAAGATGTATCAGAGAAGAATATCAAAGTACAGACAACGAAAGTCTCGTGTAAAATTAAGTGCCCTGAGGACCGATTTCTTCATCTCCGCTTAAATCGTAAGCCAGGTTTACCTATATAGTTAGACTTGCCTTAATACATACGAGCGTCGCATTTGACAATTGTCTTAATTATTAGAGACGCAAAATTCAGCTCCGAAACAATTTTGGAAATAATGCCAATTTAATTGTGAGTGCATTTTAACGAGAGTTCTGAGAAAAATTCTATGGTGATTGGATGAGGATTCTAGGTCAAATTCTAATAACAATTCAAAATTAGTTCTGAAATTTTGCTCTGATGAAAATTCCATGAACTCCAAAGATGGTCTCTGCGGATAGTTCTAAAAGAATTCTGGGGTGATTTCTGAAGATACTTCTAAGAGGATCCTAAAGAGTTCTAAATAAATGCCGTGAAGAATTCCAATGGAAACGAATTTTGAGGGTTCAATCTCCAAGTAGTTTTGAGCAGAGTTTCAAAGCTATTCTGTGATGGATTTTTGTTTTGAGAATTCTGAGGAAATACTTTGGGAATTCCACGGAGAATACGAATTGAATTTCCAATTGAATGCAGGGGAGAAGTCCAAGATTATTCTAAGCAGAAATTTATGAAATTTCTGAGTTAATTGCATGGAAATTTCAAGGAGCATTCAAATAAATGTAAGATGGATTTATGGAAGGAGCTTTCAGGGAGTTCTTAGAAGAATCAACATAAATTCTAAATTAATCTACTTTAACTAATCATGTGTTATTACTTCATGCGTGAATAAAACGATTTACATAATCGAAGATGCTTAACGTCAAATATCAGACTTCAAGTGGAGATTTTATACGATCGATGAGGAGATTAAACTAAAGAGTTGATAGTTCCGTTATAGAACGGCAGTGTGAACATTGTATATAGAAAGTAGAAAGTGAGCAAAGGACAATTTTGAGCAAGGTACGAAACGGGTAGTTGTTTACGTCAGATGGCGACTTGAGTGTGAAACAATCGATAGAACTGTTTCTGCATATTGGCGGTACACGAGCAAATCGGCGATCATCCCTTCTGCCACTGGTGGCAGGGGGAAACACCCCTCACCATCCCCCATTAACGGATGAGCTTGGCAAAGGAGACGCTCTACCCGATTCGTACCTTCCTCAAAAGTGTCCTTTGTTCGCTTTCTACTTTCTATACACAAATTTCACACTGCCATACTATAACGGAACTATCAACTCTTTTCTTCCATCTCCTAATCTATCGTATAAAAGATCCACTTAAATCCTGATATTTGATGTTAAGGATTTGTAGCTACGAAATAATCTATTTCCAAGAATTTTTTTGATCGTTCTGCAAAGAATTTCAAGAATGCATTATTATTTTTGTAAAAGCTTATTTGCCTCTAAGTTTAAGAGAAGGGAAATTATTCTTAAAAAGTTTTTCAGATCATTCTGAAAAAATTCTGTGAAAAATCTTAGTGAATTATCAAAGTTATCTCAGTGTTCACTCGGCTGTCGACAAAAGCAGGCCACTATCGATGTGTGCCACGCGATCGTCTGTTTTCTCGGCAGCAACTATTGTGTGGTCCTCCTCATTGTTCTTCATCAGCAGTTCTTTCGGTCGATGCGTCGTTGACTTTGGAAAGCAACCGTTTCGTGAAGAGTGTGTGAGTTCTGACCACGTTTTGCGTCCATTGCTACAATGGAAGCGCTCTGACCTTTGTTGGCAATACTGCCATAAAATGAAACCACTTGAAACAGCTCCCGTTCTGAAGGAGGCGGCTTTTTGGATAGCAGAAGATAAAGTGTTTATTGTGTTGTACCTTTTGACTATAGTTTTAATATGTATTGTATAGTGACCAAGAATTCTCGGCTCTGTAAAGTTAATTCGGTTGAGCCTTATCAAATAAATTAATAACAATAAATAAACAAAAAAAAAAAAAAAAAATCAAAGTTATCAGCCTAATTATATCTATATTTTATAGATTTCAAACGCAGAATCAAATTCAACATCGTAAAAAAAGGAATTTCTATTTGCTTGTCATCATTTATAACGTAAGCAGAAGTAAATTACTCAAATCACTTCAAATGCTCTTCACGGTAGATCCCGTTGTGAGATTCGATTAAATTAGAGGAATTTATGAAATTTGATTTTAAGTTCCATGACATAAAAAGTTTATTTCATTATCAAACCGTGTTTGAATTTCTAAGTTACCATATAAAAGGTTAATTATTTAGTATTTACAAGGCAGTATTTGGTAATTATTCCCGTAATTTTAGTCACTAAAGTCACTTCTATCATATCGCATCAGCACTACCAGCCCTGCTTATCGAACTGATTCCAATCACATTATCCCTTTTGAGCCAAAGTACTCAAATGGCATACTTTAAAAACTACTAGGGACAGCCCCATGGGGTTGTATGTAATGGTGACGTAGAACTACGTGGTCTTATAGGGGGAATGGATGTAATGTCGGCCTAAAAGCCCCTAATTTGGGCCCATACATAAATTCAGCAATCGATTAAAAATTTTAAAATACCATCCCAATGACGCGTTCATCTAGATAAAATTCATAAAAGGCAGATTTTTAACGATGGGCCCAATCTTAGATCCATTTGGCCAACATTAGAGCCATTTCCCCTATAGTAAATGTTATTTGTTAACTGCAGCAGGAGGTTATGTTTTGTATAGGAAAATGAATTTGAGTAGGGTTCTCTCTTTTTATACTCTAAAAATGATTACCCTTTTGATATGAATTTTAGTTAGGACATGTTCAGAAATTTAAATCTTTTGGAAAATCTTCTTCTTCTTCTTCTTCTTCTTCTTCTTCTTCTTATTCGTATTTCAAGCTTATTGCATATCGCATATTAGCTTATTGCGTGCTCTCAACTTAGTGTTCTAAATGCACTTCCACAGTTACTAATTGAGAGCTTTCGAAGCCAATACCAATGCATGAATTTGTATATTGTGTGGCAAGTAAAATCATAATCTATGCCCAAGGAAATCGAGAAATTTTCCAACCCGAAAAATTCCTGGACCGGACCGGGAATTGAACCCAGCCCCCTTCAGCATGGTCTAGCTTTGTAGCTGCACCTTTACCGGCTGAGCTAAGGGAGGCCCTGATGAAAATCTTGCTGGCCCTGAAAAGGGCCGATGGTAATACAGACTTAAAGCCTTTGAAAGCCAATGATGGCGTGTAGGCAGCTGGATCAGCAAATCGGACCAGACAATCCAATATTCTTCGGTTAAATGATTGGGCACCCGCAAGAGTCTCGGCCCGTCTGCTGCTGGACAGGGATTGAACTGGTGTCTGTGACAGGTTGGAAGGCCGCAAAATATCAGTGTCAACCCAGCTAAAGCTCCTCCCCTTTTTAGTTTTTCTCGTTAAACTCCTTCTCTCAACAAGTTGGTAAATCTTAGCAGAAAGACACTCAACACTTTTTTCGGCGAATTTATGATCCTGCTTCACGTCTTGGTTCTTCTCTAAGCCTGTTCAGATAAATGAGTACTCTTATTTATTTTCTCTACTGTGCTAAATCGAACGAGTAGAAATATGAATAAGTGTCGGTTACGCTCTCGAATAATTGAAAATTCGATAAATATTCAATCGAATAGCTGGAAAAAACCTTTACGATTAATCGTAATCGAATGATTGTACTTTAAGGCAGTCCTATGGAATAGTGTAATTTCATGTTTTTTTGGTGGTCGAAAAGCAGAATTGCAACCAACAAGTGTAACTCAACAGCCAAAACCGGTGCGATGCTAGTTTTCATTGCTATGACGCCGACTGAATTAAGGGGCTCAGAAGCAGAGGGGTGAAAGTCAATTCTTCTTGATGACCATGGCTTCACTAACCTATTTCGCACTATTTCTGCTATGCTCTTCTATCATCCAGAACGACAAATGTATCAATGAATGTGTTTGCCGTCGAGTTATAAACGAAACAGAAAGTCGATGAAGAGAATCGATCAAAATCACTTGCATCCCTGCTTCCAAGTATGGTTACAAGATTACAACTCTGTAGCGCATTTTTTTTTGTTTATTATAGAGGTTTTAAACCAACGGGTTCATTCGCCTCTTTGGAGAAAATTCTATTATATCTTATAATATAGCATACATTTTTTCAGAAATTTTATAGCCTTCAATTCTTCGTTCCAATCGATTCCTAATGTAATGCTTAGGTCATTATTGATTCCTACTCTTCACGAAGTTTTCTAACCCAGTTGAGGATATCGGATGCAGGAATAACATTTTCAGTTCGACGGGCGAGCTTTC